AATCCATTTTATTGGTTTCATTATTTTCATCATACAGCTTTATGCCACATTAAAAGCCTTTGATGTGACAGTAGATACACTTTGTCAACCAATGAATGGTGAGAACCAACAACCGATGGTGCACTAGGAACAGATGTGACATGTTAAAGAAGATTTAACCTCCCCACAAAAACCAAACAAACAAAAAAAAAACTGCACTTTACTTGTCCAGGGGATTCGTGCGTGTTTCATAACTCTTCATGACACGCAGAACTTGCACATCCTGGGACAGGAAGCAGGGGGGCAGCAGGCCATGGATGCCCAGTTGTAAGCGCTCGTCCAAGGTGAATGCCATTCCCTGGAGGGAGAAGGAGGAGCGGTTAAACAACACTACAATGCCTGAGGAGTTTACAAAAGATTACATACAAAAACTAAATAAGAAATCACACTATCCAGACCACAGCGAGTCATGTGTTAGTCATCACACTGTGAGGTTAGTTCAGACTCGTACCTTTCTGATCTTTATGAATAACTTGCCATTTTTGTATGCAATACAAAGTGAAGTTGCACTGAACTGTCCTACAAATGTTTCAATAACTCAGAGGCCATCCTTTTATTCTGGTGAGCAGCCTTGTACCCTCCTGGTTATGATAAGTGCTGCTACTCCCATCTCCCAAAGAATGACTGGAGGGGAGTGTGGGGTTTAATCTATTTATTTTGCCCAATAGTGTGCAAGCCTGAACTCACTCCCTCATCAGCTCAACTTCTCTTTCCTCCTTTCTGATTAATCTCTTTGTTTCTTCTTGATTTTTGCAACCCAAAGGAAACACTGTCCTCTATTAAACTGGCCTTGTCCGGTCAGTACAGTCCTCTGTGCATGTTTTAAACACACCCTTGTTATAGCTTAATATTCATGTTGGTAGAATCAAGTGTGATGATGTGATATTTGTTGAATCATTAGGCCTATGTTTATAAAAGTTGAAAAAGCTGTATGCATTGGAATTGAAGAGCATTTTGATGATGGATGCTGAATAGCTGAGTAACTTAAAGCTTAGCTTAAAGTTGCAGATGATGGATGCTGAATAGCTGAGTAACACTGTATAGCTTAAAGTTGCCTACTGTATCACAGTGCATCTGGCAGAAGTCACTAAAAGGAGAAACTGTTGATACAATAGTACATAAAATACCAAACACAGAAGAGTCTGTGTAGAGGGATAAACAAATTGGGATGGAAGAGTCTTTCACATGCAAACAGTGTTAACAAATACTGTACATGCACCTTACTGTGAACATGGCCAAAGAGGAAGTCACAGGTTAACAAAATTAAGCTAAAGCTATTAGAGTGAGAGGCATTAAAGGCCCTTAAGGTCACATCCCTACCCAGCATTTGATATTAACCTGGCCTACAAACTACAGTATCAGTCAACACGCAAGGTCAAAGGGAGAGAATGAAAGAAAGTGTGGGAGAGGTGTAAAGTGCCATAAGATTAACCTTTGTAATTGTAATGACTCCAGATCAGACCTTATCATGGATTATCAAACACAGTGAAGAAAAAGGGGAGTCATTCTACATTAGACATGGTGCTGAACTCAGTTTGCAGGTTGGGAGAGAGCAAGAGGTTACTGTAGTGCTCTGGTTATGAATGCATTCCCTATTGTCAGTAAATACAAGTAACATATACACAGAGGGGTTTGGTGATATTCAGCAACACACCAGAGAAATTGTAATCATGCCTACTTTCTCTCGATAGTACAGTGTAATAGTTGTTCAAAAATGCTCCACTTCCTGTCTGTTTGTACTGAGCTGACCTGTGAGTCAGTATGTAATTGCTGACTGGGCATCAGCACTGGAAAGAACTGATCGCGCTGCTATCGGCCTAAATCAAAGCCATAAACTCAGCTAAAGCTTCAGTGTCCATCCTGCTGATCTTGTAGAATAGCCGGGCAGGGAAGAGAAAGTACTCCCTTTTCATTACTTCATGTTCAGTAAACTGCAGTGAAACCACAGATGTTTTTAGATCCCTTCTGGCAAAAAGTATTTTTCGCTAACTCTGAAGGACATACTACTAGGCAATGTGGTACTCCTGTACTGTATACATGCACTTATCTCTGTTTATAGAAGTTCCACCTCCACAGTACATGGTGTGTGGAGATCATTTAGTCTGTAGACAGTTGAGTGAATGCAGTGACAGCACATTTTTAGATTTTGAGGCACTTTGTTGCACAAAGCTGCACATTTTGATAACTAAATTCACATTTTATATTAATGCCACCCATTTGTTAAAAAAACAAAATACTTAGCATGATATTTGTTGAATGCATTCATTAGGGTGCTTGTGCTACATCAGTACCTTTTTTTTAAATTAGTTTTTAACATCAGACATGTGGCAGTGAAGCCATCATTCCCTCTATGAAATGTCTTATATAGCCAATGCTACAGACTTATGCATGGCTAACACATAACCTTATTCACATAATCTACCACCAAGATTATAATCAAGAAAGCCACTAAAATATGACGAGACATGTAGCAGGTCAACATATTATAATCTAACTTGCTAATATACAACTGCCCCAAAACAGGTAGTGAGCATAAATGTATAGACTGATGCAATTTGCTCAATTGTTCAATTACTAGGAGTGATCACACAATGTCCAGTTAGCTACCACATCAACATTACACTAAAAAGTACAACATTCAATTAGAGTTTAAATGGCTAGTTAAGTAATCCATTAGTTCAACAACAAAAGATCAACTGGGTCCAATTTTGATGATTTATTAAACAATTTACTAATTTTTTTAAACCAAAAATAGCTAAATTTAACAAATCCCAGGCTCCTAAATGTTACATTTTTCTGATTTCTTAGTTCTTAATGATAGCAGGCTAAATATAAGACAGAAAAAAATACTTATGATAGTAATCCACTTAAACACACACACACACACACACACACACACACACACACACACACACAAAATCTCTTGTCCAATATTCATAAATGAACACAACACAGGTGGAGGAAGGTATAATAAAAAATTAAGAACAATCTTAATCTTTTTGTGCAAATGTGAATTGGTTGTGGATTTATCGACAGAGTTCCTGAGTTCATAAAAGGAACCAGTCACATCAGCTCACCTTGTTCAGGTGCGGGTTTCTGGTGATGTCATAACCCCGCTTCTTGGTGCTGACGCTGCCCTTTCGGCTTGTTCCGGAGTGGCAGACCCGCACAGGCTGGAAAGAGGGCCTGTCGGCCTTGGGACTCACTGCGGGGTGACCCGAGGAACCGGCGAAGACCCCCACACCACCCGCTGCCGTGCGTCTGCACAGAGACAGTGCGACTCTTCCTGGGAGAGAGTTCATGTTGCCTGCAGACGGCCAGGGAGCAAAAGACAGCACACACTGTGTTTCAATCTAATCCTGCCGGTGGTACGAGTCAAATTACAGTGCAAAAACACGGACGCACGATGTATAAACACCACATGCGCGTGCGCACCACGAGTAATATGCTACTACTAGTTCACCAACTGTCCTCTTGTAAGCGACCTCCAAGTGTGAGAGGTAAATGTGAACCGTTAGAGCTCGAGTCGCCAAATCACAGTGATAAACCATCATAGCTGCCATTCATTTTAATGCAAGGACAAATATACAATCACTAAAGCAATGTTTAAAAGGTGCTGATGTGGAGACAAATCTCCAGCCATTGTATTGTGTGCGGCTGAATTAGCACAGCTAGCTACTGTTAGCTGCCCGCAGGTTTTATCACAGCTGCTAATGCTAGCTAGCTCCTAGCTAATATTCACTGGGGTTTACCTTAAAACGACGTGAAGCTGCTGCGCACCTGACTTCTTTCTTCATAGGAGGTACTTCTTTACCCGCTACTTGTATTAACGTCTTTATCGGTGGATGTGGGGAGGAGCCAGTGTTAACAGCTGATCCAGGTTCCTTTGACCGTGATCAATTCACTTCCCAGTCAGTCACCACCAATCATGCAGGAGCATAGCGGGCTGTAGCTTCTCTCCAATCTACTACTGAACATCTGGACTCAAAACAAGCAATACCAAAATACGCTCTTTTAAATTTACATATTATTCTCCCAGATTTACAAATTGGTCAGATACTTATCAGTGATAGCAAGTGTAATAACAAAATCAAGTCAGCATCAAATCATAGGATAATCTAAAAAAATGTTGTTATGGTCTATAATGTCATAATCATGGGCAAACATCACATTAATGTATATAAATGGAAAAATCAACAACCCTCACAAACTTGTTTTATAAATGAATTTTACAATTTTTAGTTAATACACACTTGCCAGCACCCCCATGTGTCCATTGTCTGACTTGATGTATAGGTCTAAATATACATACATGATGTAGGATACACTAGACTTTTTATTTACATAAGTTTTGTGTATTGTAAAAAAATGACTTGCTGTTGTTGAAATGTATTCAGCTTATTAGGTGATGCCTCATAATGTTCTTACTAAAACTGTAACATGTACTGTACATGACAAAACCATCTGTACAGTGCACTTCACATTAATAGTCCTGGCTCCCTCTGCTGGACTTAAATGTGTCTTCCAGTCAGAGACAATGGACAGTCTGCACCTCTTGATACAGTCATGTCTGGTTTAACCTACTTTGTACCTTGGTGCAAAATATTACACTGATCCATAAAATGTAAATGAATCTATACATAAGTCACGCATGTCTAGTTACAGTGTGTATACTTTTCTACCCTGAAACCAATTTCTTTTTCTTTTCTTTTTTTTGCCAGAAGATTTTGCCCTTGTTATTAACTTACATTAAGATTACCAATTTAAAACCTTGGATTCTGTGAACTCACAACCTACCATACCTTTCCCCACATGGTGAGTTAGTGGGTTAATTTAATCCTTTGAGCCTAGGTTTTCTAAATGACAATTACTTTGTAGTAATTTGGTGAATCACAGCTTTATTTAGAATTATACACACATTTCCATACAACCTTGTGGCTCATTAATTTATCAGTTATCCTTGTAGGTCTGGGGCTACAGGGCAATTACCCACTTTGCCCAGTTGGTAATGTGGAACAGCTTTTTAGTTTAAAGGACCATTTTCTGTTCAGAACTGTTAGATGTTAAATATAATGTTTAAATATGTTAAAAAAAAACACTCCATACTAGCTGCATTCACAAAGGTTTATTGAAAACACATTTCATGACAGCACATCTCTATTCATGTTTGTAACAAAAGCAAACAGTGTAGAGTGAGTGCTTCACATGTGTCCATCTTTCTAGAAATGTCCATGTAGTGTAACTACTATGGAAAAACATTAAAAAGTATGCAGAAAAACCCCTGAAATGATAAAAAAAAAGAAAACTACACACTTAAAATGTTTACAGTGACTAAACAACCTACAAAATCTCAGTATCAAACAATCACCGCGGTGAGAAAACAGTAAATTAGGTGTAATACAACTATTACAAGAATCACACACAATATCTGGCAAAAAGAGATCAGGCTGCATATTATTTGTAGTTCACAGCCTCAACTGAACAGTTTTCTTTATATCCATATCTATCTATCTATATATATATAATATTTTTGTTGCAATTACACACAGTCCATAAAGAATGAACATATATCCATACAATACATTTTCAGGATTCACTACACAACAAAAGCTTTGTTCTTCTAGGCTGACAGATTAAGGTACCTGTTGTTTTGTTTTCATTTTCACCATTCTGGAAACATTAACTGAAATGCTTCAAATGACCACAGTGGTGGCGCTACGGGAGCTTCGGTCCTAAGAAAAAAAGTGACAGAGGTGAAATTAAGTTAAACATAGATGTGATCATTTAACACACACAAGCAGAAGAAAAGACAGAGACAAGGTAGTGCAAAAAGGTGTATAAAAATCAGTAGCCAATACAATATTGTGCTTCTTTGCACAGAAAAACACTATATAAGCCCATTTACGATTACCAAACAAATCAGTTGACATTTCTAGGACCATAGTGTACTGCTGGACGATCAGTGTATTGCATCTTCCAGGGCAACAGCTACGGTGTGTTCTCTATGGGTAAATCCCAATTCCTTTATTTTATGCTTCCTCACTCCTTGACTCTCACTTGACCCAGTCCGCCATCTTAAAGGTTGTCCCAAAGCTTTTATTTTTGCTCTGAGGAGCAAGGAGGCTGCCTGGAGGACCCTTGAGTAAGGATGCATGAAAGTATCCTTCATGGAAGTCTTTTACAGACCAACACACCCCTTTATCAGAAATCAGATGGTGAGTGGATTCCTCAGATGAAGGATCAGAGGAAAGGACATTTCATGTCTTTTAAATCCTTGATTCCTCTCTTTGCATGTCTTTCTTGTATCTTTTTCTCACATCTTATGTGGGGGGAATTAAGACAAGGAAAACATGCAAGTGAGGGAAACATAGATGCAATTAAAGGAACTGGAATTTACCCTCTGTATTAAAAGTACTTGCGTGACCCTTGCCTTTACAGTTGTGTCTACATAGCTTGCGAAGGCTATAAAGTAGGCCTAAGAGTTTACAGCCATGCTAGCAGTTCTGTGAGGCCGCACTGAGGCACTCTAGTGCTTTGAGCTAAATGCTAACCAGTCTATAATATGTCTCAATTCCACACTACATACTAATTCAAAGCAAGTTTTTAGTATGAAGCATGTTCAATCTAAAAAAGTAACCAAAAGCAGACAGTATGCACATTGCCAAGTATGTTCAACAGAAAGTAATGACTGAAATGTCACCAGATGATATGATACAGTAATTTACATATTTGTATGTCATAACAGAACTAGTGTATTTATATATGTCCAAATTAAAACAACAATTAAGTCAAATTAGATGTAACAGACTCTAGCTAATGGTTCCAGAATGTATGTCAGTGTTTGGATCTTACAGAAAGGCGCTGGAACATCTGCCGCCCTTTACTGCAACCAGGCCTGATGTCAATGGAAGAGTAGCTGGGGGGCTCCTCCGGGCAGTCCTTCCATTTACCTCCTTTTCGTCTTTTGAAGTCCTCTTCATCAGAGCTCCAGGTCCTTTTGCGATGCAGTGGAGGAGAATAGCTCCTTCGGGCTGCTTTGCTGTGCAACTCCTCCATCAGATCATCATGTGTATATGGTCTGGACGCGCTTCCTGTCCTCCCAGCTGAGCTTCCTCTCTCATTCCTCACACCCTTGTACGACACTCTTCCTCGCCTGTTATCCCAATCCATGCCATCACTGTAATCATGCAAGACCCTCTGCCGTGGAGGAGAAATATCTCTGTCTCTATACCCACGACTGTCACGTGGGAGACCTTCTCCAGAGTGGTTTGTGCTCCCACTGGACTGGCTGGATATTCTAGGGCCACCCCGTGCTCCATCTCCACCTCCAGGCCCTCTGCGAGAGGAAGAGCTGGGTACATGTTGGATGATAGGAGGCAGGGTGATCACCTTTCTCTCCACCCCTCTCGCTCCCAACTCATCCAGGGCTGACAACATACTTGGGGGCCCAGGTGTGTAGGG